CCCCCCGGCCCCCCCCGGGAAGACCCAGACGGGGGCTGAACTGGGGGGGGGGGGGCTTCTGGGTGAATACGGAGGGCACACAAGGTGCAGGGAGAGTTGCAGCATTCCCCGCCTGGAGAAAGAACACCCCAAGCTGCTGCACACAGAGAGCGGAGACACCAGCCACCACAGCTCATCAGGCAGCAACGCCATGCGCCGACTCAGCCTTACGCAGGGAGCACACCCAAGAACTCCAGTTATCGGCCCTCACCAAAAGGGCAAAGTACTTACCATGCTCCTCAACAGGCCACCACATGCTCGCTCCGTGCACTGCCCCTCTCTGATTTCCCAGCCTGGCCTGCAACCGCTGACTGATTAGGAGATGAGGCTCACCTGTACAGAGGGAGGCAAGCCAGCTGTTCAACCCTCTGGCTCCTAAGGGGGCAGCAGCCCTATAGGACTCCCAGATGTGGCATGGGGGTGCTATCTACAAGCCCTGGCCAGGGCAGATGTCACAGCCTCCTCTTCTTTATGAAAATTGGCTTATGAATATGCATAACTCAAAGATGCCTTAGGCATAATGCCTCACATGATACGTCCTTTTTAACATTACCACCTGCTGAATCTGTGTATCTGATTGCTGTGCATGTGGCTTTCTTGTATGCAAAGTTAGAAATACCAAGTGCGGCTCTGTTTCTAATTCTGAAAGTGCCAAGGAGCATTAGTGATACTCCACAGCTTAATGGCCCCATTCAAAGTAACAACCTGTGAATGGGTTGGTTTTCCTGTAAGCCTGGATTGTGATTGGCCCTGCCAGGACATGTGGCCAGGCCACCTGATGCTGCACCCCATTTTGAATCTGGTACTTTTCTGGTGAGAAAAAAGTTGGACCTGAACACAAAGGATTCCCACCTTGGGCAAAGGAGATAGAAAGGTGAGAACAGGAGTGGCCCTAGATGAGCTGCCGGCAACTGGCACCCTAGGCGAAACGCACGGAGTCCCTGCCTCCAAAGCCCTCAACGGCCATTTATCTTGGTGCCCTAGGCAACCACCTAGTTTGCCTGTATTGCTGGGCCACCTGTGAGGCACATTGTCTTCTCCTCAGCCCTTTGAACACACTGAATTGCTGGAAGGGAAGGGAAGATTTAGCTTCCCGAGTTCGACTCTCTTAATTGGAGGGATAGTTTATTTGTATTTTTATTTATCAAAATAGCCCTTTACAATGACATGAATCTAAAGAAATACAAATCGACCCCTTTGCAATTGTTATTTATTTAGCACAGCTGAATTTGGCCAGGTAAAAGGAGCACAGATGTACAGCTTACCTAGCCTTTGATTCAGGTCGTGTTCCTTTGGGCAACATAACCACACAGGCGTAAGCAGACATCTGTCCAGATCTTCACAGGTTTGCTTGGAGCAATTCAAAACTATAGGAAGAAGTCAGAGAGAACCGTGACAATCCAAAGGATGGACTAGTCCAGCATCATATATATTTGGTTGAAAAATAGCCTTTACCAAAAAAATTGTCTCAATTTATTTTGAGAGGGATTGTGTCACATTTTGGGGGATTGTTTTCTTTAAACCTGATAATTATTTTCAACATTTTTTCTTCATAGGTTCCCCTCCTTTCTTCTGAGACAAAATAGTGGGAGGAGAAAGTAGTCACGAGAAGAAAATCCTGAAAAATGTCTACAAGAGCTGCACTAGATCATGGATACTGTAGTTCAAGAGAATGTCCTTTAGAGGGGACACCTCTGCCCATTTGTACAGTATTCCCTTTGCTTCCCCGCTATCAGTAAGAGCATCAAATGTGAGTTTTTAATCCCTCATCACCGATTCTTTTCAGCTGGCTGCCTGCACAGATTACACCCCCACGCTCTAATGAACAGCTGAAATAGGAAGGTACACGGGGAGGGGTATTTTTGTGGAGGACAAAAATATCTAAACTCAGCATCAGGTTCCACACAGATCATTAGAATGGAAATCAAATAGGAGCAAGGCAAGGCCCAGAACAGCTAAGTACATTCACTCAGGGACCATGCAGAAAGTGCAGCACACGCAAAGAGACAAGCAGCTGTTGGGAAGCTTTCTGCACAGTCATAATAAAAATGTCACAGCCAAGCTTTCTGGAAGCCAGTAGGTGCTGCTAGGGGCTTAGGGCTTTTGAAAATCCAGCCATTTATACAGGAGCTAAATTATAGGCCCTTCATTTTTTCAAACCTTGACCCAAATGAATGGCTAAGAAACCTCTGTATATTAAAAAAACAAACCTATTCAGTGCTAACTCAACCTTTTTAAAGTCTGAAAAGAAATGGAGCCAGCGTGCATAGTAAACAGGGATCTCTCTGTATCAGAGCAATAGCAAGCATCTCCACGCAATTGTAGCTAACCATGTGGCTGAGTCTGGCTGGTAGCAGAGACTGAAGAATTTGTAATTCTTACTGGGTTACAAATGAGGGGAGACAGTTTCTGGCAAGACCCAAACAGTCACATTTTGAATGGCTCTTCAGCGGGGCAATTCACACTGAATGAGGCCAGCACTGGCATTGAGGGCAATACCCCCAGCCCATCTGATGGCCATCAAGAAATCTGTCATGTGAAATAAACCCTCCAATTGTCCTGCTAGCCAGTGATCTCCAAAGCCCGTGTTTCCATCCCGGCAAGAATCTGACAGCACCATTTGGAGACCAACAGTTTCTCCTTGCAGGAAGTGTATCAATCAGCCTCTGTGGGAAGCTACACCCTTAGCATTCCTGAAGCAACGGGGAGTAAATTGGAACTAGCATCGTACTTGGGGTATGGAAAAGGGCCGTCTCCTCCTCAGCTGAGCTCCCGCGCTAGCATAAAAGCACCTCACACATAGGACTCTCTGGCTCTGGGCTGAGGTTGACAGACCAGACCTTCGGGACAAAAGTTCATTTTAATCTCATTGATACACACACACAAAAAGCAAGAAACCGATCGAAGATTTCCCAAGATGCCCCCGGCAGAGAAAGCCGGTTACTCTGCAGGTGTTCATATGGAACTGTATTTAATCCGACTGACACCACCAATGATTATTTCCCTACTGTTGCCTTTGTAGGTGCCATCATTCAGCAGCTGGAACAGCCCCCGAAGCCGACTGAAATAAAGGCCAAGCCTCCAGCGGGGTTTGCTCTGTCCGTTGCCATCCAAACACCACACTCCGCAAGGGGAAAGGCTGCAAGTTGCACTTTGGTCACGTCTCGGGCGGACCCAGACTGCCGCTGAGAGGGGGACTTTCCAGCTGGGGCAGATGGACCCTCCGGAACGCTGATTGAGCTCACGTGCTAGAAACAGCAGCATGGGCAGCAGCTCAGGCTACTGATAGGAGCACCGCCCTGTCATTTCCATCGCACTCTCCCACACACACACACGCACATTTCAGCCCACATTTCTTTAAAGCAGTGGTCTCCAACTTTTTACACCCAAGATCACTTTGAATTTAAAGGCAATCCAGGATCTACCCTGTCCCTTCCCCCAGACCCCACCCCACCACCCACCCTCTCTCCCTCCCTCATCTGGCTGGGGTAGGGAGTCAGGAGGCGGTGAGGGCTCTGGGCTGGGGACTTGGGGTGCAGGAGGGGGCAATGGGTAGAAGCACTGGGAGGGTGTTTGGGTGAGGGGGCTCTGGGCTGAAGTGCAAACGGGAGTTCGGGGTGCTGGCTCTGAAAGGCAGCTCAGGACTAGGGCAGGGGGTTGGGGTTCAGGAGGGGACAGGGATGCTGATTTCTGCCAGGCAGCACTTACTGCAGGCAGCCCCCACTTGCTGCTCCTGGAAGGGGCCAACGTGCCCCTGTGGCCCCTGGGGTGGAGGATGGGGGCACGTCTCCACATGCCGCTCCTCTGACAGCCCCCTTTCCTGTTGCCCAGTTTCCCCTCCCCAGCTAATGGGAATTGTAGGGGCGGTGCTTGGAAGCAGCAGCATGCAGAGACCTCCTCCTGCCTGCATGTCCTGAGCTGCGCTGGCCCCTTCAGGGAGCCCTGTGATGCTGGGGCAGGCAGGGAACCTGCCTTAGCAGCATCCCCACTGCACTGCCAGAGATCACCATCAACTAGGGGGGTCCCCGGGGTCAGCCAATCGATCACGATCAACTGACTGGTGACCACTGGGGCAGATGTCTGAAGAATTTTATTTACCAAACAAAATTAGGAAGAATGCAGCCCTCAGTCCACTTGACTACTGCCCCACACCCACCACAGCTGGGCTCCTCACCTGCACTGCAAAGCATATTCTGGGGAGCTAGAGAGAAGGGCCTGTGACTACGCGGAGTATCCAGCAGCGAGTGGCGTCAGGGAGCCATAGGTCAGCACTGAAGTTAAACAGTGAACCCGAGGGCTACATCTGGCACGTGGGGTGCTCGTAACCCCATGCCCCAGAGAAAGCATGCTGCAGCCACACCACAGGGAGCAGCGCATAAGGCAGAGAAAGGCTCTGGTGGGGCAAGCTGGAGACGACTTAGCAGGGGAGCTGACAGGGTTTTCCACTACATCCCCAGCCTAGGTACCAGAGCCTTTCCAGCCCAGAGGAAAGACCTCAGCCGGTGAGAGGCTAAAACCAGCAATGTCGATGGGGCTGCACTCTGTGGGCAAGCAGAGCTGTGCAGCGTACGTATCCCACAGCCTTCAGGCCTGTCTTGTTTCTACTCCCCTAAGCAGCACCTCACAGCCTACCTGTCCATTTGTGCCCACGCTCAGGGTGTGTATAGTTCTTGTGCTCTAATGCTGCCAAAAGGAGTGTGCAGGGCAGATGTACACCCAGAAGTCAATGTAACTTTCTGAGTTTATTGGCAACTTACTATCTACAGATGTTGCAACGTTCTATAGAAGGAGTTAGTCACATTTCCTGCACACTGTCATAAGGACAGAGGAAATCATGTCACATTACCTTGCGGGGGAAGCATGCAGGGATCAGCATAACTGTGGCAAAGGCCATGAGGAGATTGAAGAAGAACATGAGCTGCTGAAAAACTATTCCCAGTGTAAAGAACTGTGCAGGTCCCAAGGCACAGCACAACGCTACTACAAACAATCTGAATCAAATAGTATTCCACCTGTAATTCCATTCTCCCTCCTTTACTCACAAGCCAATAGGGCCAGTATCTAGAAGTGAAAAAATTCAGTGCAACCACTGAAATTAGCAGTCAAGCCATATTTATACACCACCATGTTTTAGCTCAAACTCACCTGACACCTCCCAGGAGTATCTACTACCAGACTCATGAAGAATTTACTATAATCTACTTTAATAAAGGTATTACTGTACAACAAAATACATTAATTTATGGCATTGAGAAAAGTGCTTTAGAAAAAGATACCTACGAATATGCAATTAGATTTCAATAGCAGTAACTACTACTACCATACAGCACTTAGATTTGAAGTATTTTTGAGCATGAAGGGATATTGTCAGATGAACAATACATTTTTAGTGGCATGTTAGATGATCTGAACAAGTTTGAAAAAAATCTGCTTTGTAGTGAGAAGCGAGGTTTGTTATTTTCTGCATTTCATTGAGCACGGACAAAGGGACAAGATTCTTTCCCATACTCCCCATTCTTTTCACACCCTGGTTCTCAGAAAGAGGGCCATTCTACACTGTTCAAACAGCCAACATTCTGGGAAGAAATATTTTCAGTATGCTTTAACAATATGTTTTCAGGAAACTAGAATTTACAAAACATACCACCAAAGTAAAGACTGGACTAAACCACCCGAGTGTCCCAAAAAGGAGAGATTTTTTTGCACAGCCGCCAACAATAGCATTAGCTTTTGCGGCCTCACTCCTGAAAAAACAAATGCACGTGCCTAGCTTCATACGCCTGAATTGACTCACTGAAGTTGATAAACACTGGCATATCTGAACTAGGAAGCAGGCTGGTACAATTTCACAGCATCCGGGCCTTCAGATTGGAAGAGAAATCAGCGGCCAGTTGTAACAGGTGAAAGGAATGAGGAGGTGGAGAAAAAGTGTTCTATATTCACATGAATATATACCACTGATTTGACACACGGTAGCCTTTAAATTAATAACCCTGCACTTTTTTGCTTTGTGCAGTTTGTGTGCCAGAGTTGTAGATGAAGATAAATGACTTATCCACCTCTTCCATATATCACCACCTCCCTTTCCCAGACTTCATCCACCTACAAACGTGTGTCACTTAAACACAGAATCTATTCACCAAAAAGACTGAAGACTTCAGCTTTCCCTAAAACAGCACAGCAAGCTACTGACTGTCCCCATGGATTTCTGTGCAGAATAGGTATCTGCCTAGCCTTGCTACCCTCTCTTCCTGAAAGGTGCAGCCTCCAAGGAATCTGGCCAAAGCCTTCAGCTGTTGTAGAATCAGTTCAGTTCTGACAGCTACTGCTTATAAATCGGCTTATTAGAAATATGTCTATATACAGCCCAGTAGAAGAGACAGCTGAGCTGTCCTCGAAGCCTTGCAGTTCTCAAGGACAAATCTTGTGTGTGATGCACAGCACCCCCGAAGGGGAAGATCACCCAACAAGAATGCTCTCTAGGGAGCATCACTGTGGAAAGCAGGAGTGAGACGTCACAGGCACTCGGACACAGCTCTGCACTTCACAACCACTGCAGAGAGGGAATTGTAGGACATGCTAACAGCAGAGCGACAATCCCCTGGGGTGCATGAATACAGCACCAGGAATTAGGATTTTGTGATACATTAATGGAGAACCCATTGGTACTAAGAGACACTGTGGTGAGCCTGGCTTTGTTAGCAGCCGTATCAAACAAGGGTGGGTTTTTTTTTGTCCAGTAGCACATGATGTGTGTGTCAGTCACTGCTGCTCCAGAGGCACCCTGCATCCTCCATCCTGAGCGGTGTTGTAGGACTCACAGCTTGTACACTTCATGCCTAAGATATGGAACTGGACTGTGGACCGGGTGCTGCAGTCATTGCAAAGGATCTGTAGTAAAAGAGAATTGCCGTCAGACAAACAGCAGGCTGCATAAAACATTGTGGCTGCAACAAGACTTGATTACTACCAAAGTCTTGATTTTATAGGGCTGTTTTGTTTTATAGGAAAGACTTTGCTTTTTATTTTATTTTAATCGTTTGATTGAATTGTTGGTGGGTTGTGGGTTTCAGTTTATTATTTAGCAGCACATTTTTAAGACTACATTTACATTTATATTAATATTAGGCTTAAAGTATGAACTAGGGAGGACAAACTGACCTCCGCTGGTACAGAATTGTTTTTGGTGGTTTGTTGCTTGGCTATTAAGAGGACAATGGGCACCAACTTCTCTATTTCCTTGTGTGTGAAGTCAGCAGATCAGGGAGATGCAGGCACAGAAGACTGGTCACCAGTGATGCTCACTTTGGGTCGTCCAGCACAGTTTCTGTTAGCTGTTTACACTTGGCAATGGACCCCAGTCCCACACAAAGATGACATTCAGACACCACCCAGTCAGGTTTCTCTGGCACGGTGTAGTCTCTACCAAGAAGTTGCGTATTTCAAAGCACACACTTTGTCTTTGAGTCATACCACCTCCTTCACTTTCTAATGATTAGTTGGGCCCAGCCTCCCTCACGTGTAGTAATGTTTATTTGGGCTGAGCACTTACAGAACTAGCTGGGGTTGGTTTGTTTACAGCAGGCTACATTTGCTTTGTTTTTGCTTTGTGTTGCCATTTTACACTGGGATAACACTGCTTATAGGTTTCATTTTCTATTACACTTCTATTGTTAACACATTTTTTAGAATTCCCTGTTCATTTAGGAATAGTCATTATAATTGGCATAGCTGAATTATTAATTTCAACTACGTGATGCACAAAGTCTAGGACCTTCTAGCCTTCTGTTGTTTCAGTATTATGAATGTTTTGTTTTTTTTACTAGTGTGGTTTACAGAAGTTTGCTGTTTAACTACTTTGATTACTTTTTTGCATTAGATACAGCACAAATTTTGCACCATGTGTGCTGCATGGAATTGCTTGGGGAACATTATTTAATGAATGACGGTATTTATAAATATATTAGCAAATTCTTTGTAAGGTTCAGTTTAACATCTGCTGAACTTCACTGGAAGATCCCAAATTCTGAGACATCCAGTATGGTTGTTACAGCGTCCTCTCTGTCCACCAATCATTCTGGACCTACTAAAGTACAATTGTTTTGCCTTAGAAAACTCCTGCACTTCTTTACTTATCATAACATTTAGAATTTTGTGTAGAAGCCCCAGTCTCAAACTTTAAAACCAGACAGCTCCTTCACCAGTTGTCCATTTGGGCCCATGGATGCTATTTGAATGCACCCCTTATGGCTATCCAACTGTTGCAGATACAGGAAACCCCCGAGATGTGACCGCCTGAGTTGCGACCCCCTGAACTTACAAAAATGGTTGTAAGTGCAAAAGGGGCCAAAACCCCCCGACTTACATCCTTGGCCCGCCTTTACAACAGCGCCACGACACCTATCGTAAATGAGAGTTCAAGTTATGACACCCCCAATTTGCGACACTTCCCCAGGAACCGATCGTGTTGCAAGTCAGGGGCTGCCTGTACCTACCCTGTGTTAAGCAAGACACATTTTTCAGAAAGGTAGACTGGTTTTGCTTAGTTCCAGATCATGGTTTGTAGACTGTTTTTAAATGTATTTCCTTTTGGTACTGTAGGAACAGAGGCTATTCCTAACTTGGAAATGGTTTGTAACTCTGAACAAAACAGTTTTTTCAGAAGCTTACAACGCTGACTCACTACAGCTTTAAACTTAACAATGCAGAGGAAAAATGCTGCCCCCCCCCCTTTTTTAGTAGTTTACAGTCTTGTACTGTATTTGTTTGTGTGTGGGTGCATGTAGTCTCTCCTGCTGCCGGATTGTGTACTTCCAGTTCCAAATGAGGTGTGTGGTTCAGTAGTCAGGTCATAATACCGAGGTTCTACTGAATTTATTTATAGAAAGTTAATGGAATTTATATGAGTAAGACAAAGGTTCTTTGACCCCTGCTTTCTCTCAGCCTCCCCTAGAGAAGCAGCCTAAGTCTGTTGGAGCAGATGAAGAGTAGAGAAAAGACAAAGCTCTGCTTCTAGGAAATACAATCTTTTGTAAATCAGTTAAAAAAGCAGAACCATCTTCTATCCAACACACACTAGGGAAGTGGGACATCCAGGCTAAGTTTGTGGATTCTGCTAGAATAAATTACGTAGCTCTTATTCTAATTTAAGTCTCCGTAGCAAGCAGAAACCAAGCCCAATGCAGACCTCGAAGGCAGAGTTACTCTCAGACAGAATAGCAGCACAGTGGCAAACATCGGAGTGCTTTGCACAAGGAGCATGTTCATTCTGAAATGGAAAGTGAACCTAACTTCCTGCTCCTGCAGAGGACAGCAGCCCCCTGATCTGGAGTTGTCTGATAATCCAAGATGTTTCAGAAGGGTAACTCTGCCTGCATCCTACTGCCTAGTGCAATGCTATAGCAAGAGCTGGTGGGTAGGAAACAACCTAATTCTTCACCTGCCTGGTCACCTTATCCCCTGAACGTGAAAAACAATTGTTCTGCAGCGTGCCAAAGGGTAATATTAGCTTTGTTTCAGAGAGCTCCGCTCGTGTTCCACTCCTGCTAACAGGATGGTAGGCAGTGGCCAATATTGGAGAGAGATAGGAAGGGGGCACAGTGAGAAAGGACTTGCTACTTACCTCCACCATCATGTTCTGATATTCTGTGGGCATCGGTGTTTGTGCCACTTCATCATCCAATTGTCGCCAGTACCTGCTCATATCTAAAGCAGAGTGCATGCACAAGGGGCACCGGTAACCTCTGGCAGAGACAAAGTACAAGTCAGGAAGATACTGGAGTGACACAGCCATTACTAGAATCAGTTTAATTACACCAGGACACAGAGGAAAACCCCAGGGAGGGAGAAGAGCTTCTGAATGCAAAGAACAACACTGTCACAAGTCAAACGAGGATAAACTGGCCATGAATAAATTTAGGCTGGCCATGGACACAAGGTTGCTAACCAGAAAAGTAAGGGAACAGCCTTCCCACAAAAGCAGTGGGGCAAACAACTTCACTAGCTTTAAGATCAGAGGGGTAGCCGTGTTAGTCTGAATGCAAAAGCGACGAGGAGTCCTGTGGCACCTTATAGACTAACTGAAGTGTAGGAGCATAAGCTTTCGTGGGCAAAGACCCACTTCGTCAGATGCATGTAGTCTACATGCATCTGACGAAGTGGGTCTTTGCCCACGAAAGCTTATGCTCCTACACTTCAGTTAGTCTATAAGGTGCCACAGGACTCCTCATCGCTTTAGCTTTAAGATGTAGTCCACCGGTTAATGAAAAGGACAGGACAGTGCTCCCTGTGAGAGCAGGGGACTGCCTCAGTTACCTAGGAGGTCCCTTCCAATTTTATGAGCCAATTCCCAACACAGCAGTCAAGGAGAAATGCAATGTGCAATATCTGAGGAGACTATTTGGTTAACTGTTGCCTTTAAATCTCTCAGCCCTGGACTGTCACAGCAATCTTTGCTTCTCCAAATTAGGAGTCTGCACTGCAAGGATACTTAGAATGCAGGGGGGTAAGAATACTCACTCTTTTAACATGTCTTCATAACAATTTCTAAAAGAAAAACACAAGACCACATTAGTAGCTACACAAGGAAGGTGAAGTAACCAGCGAACTGGTGCCTGGCCTAGCTGGAGCAGTGCATCATGGGTGGGGGGCACTCCAGTCCAGCCAAGCAGGAGCAGGCCCCTCCCACCCACAGCGTGGTTGCTCCAGCCTGTGGCCACGCCAGGACACAAACGGGGAGCTATTCCAGCGGACCCCAATCTGCAGTGTGGCGCAGCAGGCGGATTAAACACACAGCTTAACAGGTTAACATTTTAAATGGGATTTGAATCCTGAGCTTCGACTGAAGGAAGAGCAAGCTACCCAAAGAGCTGTGGTCAAAAATAACTTGTATGGAAATGGGAAGAGGGAGGCATCCTAGCACCAATGTTTAAAGGGATCCAAGGAGACCAGAGCACGTGAGGGCCTATTCTGGCATCTTCAGTAGTGAGGTGAAGGAAGGAGTCAACAACACCAGAGTGAAACTTGCAGATGGTTTAAGATCACTCCAAACAACGGAAACAGCTACTACAGAAGCTTCGGAGATGGACAGAACACAAAGTGAGATTCAATTGGGAAAGACATGCCACTACATCTGGGGAACATTAATCTATCACATACAGTGGGAGAGTGCACCTGGCAAACAGCCACACCGAAGGAGACCAAGGAAGACAAGACATTCAAAGTGATTTCCAAAAAGGCATCACAGCAAACAGAAACAAAAGAGGGACAAGAGCCACTGGGGCTGCAGGTACAGAGGCATCCATGCACAGGAGGAGGAGGAAATACACGACTTTTGTAATTACGCTCCGGGAGGGGAGTGCTGTAGTCAGTTCTGGATACCACGTCAGCACAAAAATGGACTGACAAACGGGAAAGATTTCCTAGAGCAATAGAAATGTTCAGTGGACGCAAGGACAATGCAGGATGAAAACTAAGAGTTATACAGATTGGTTAAGAGACTACTTGAGCCCCTGGACTTCTCAAGAAGCACCACAAAGTCAGATCCCTGTGCCTTTGTACAGCCAACTGGGGCTCCTTATGGGGCTTTGGCCACACACTGCTCATTAAAAGGCCAGAGAGGGGAAGGCACAACAGGCTACACCAAGGATAACATTATTTAGGGTGATACGCTGGAGTGCAGGTGGCAACAAGGAGAAATTAAGCAAGGGAAAATGTAAGATGAACATCAAGGAATTTTTTCTGTAAAGCTTTACTGGATTGTGGATAGGAATGTGAAAAGTTAACCAGTGAGGGCTGGAAAAGCCCCTGCCTATAGCAGTGGTGACTGGGGGAAGAGGGTTCCAGCCTTCCCCTCTCCTTTAATCAGTTAACTGGTTAAATATCACATTTAACCAGTTAATGTGATTTTACACCCCTAGTTGTGGAGCAGTCTCCAGGGGAAAGAACAGAAGCCCCATTGCTTGGGACCTTCTGAACATCCCAAAGGCAGGAGTGTACAAACAGGCTTATGTAAGTGGGGAGATGAACTGGGACGACACAACAGAGATTTCCAACAGAGATTCTACAGAAGTGACCAAGAAGGTCCCTTCTTGGATTGAGAACTGGCTAAAAGACAGGAAACAAAGGGTAGGAATAAATGGTAAATTTTCAGATTGGAGAGGGGTAACTAGTGGTGTACCCCAAGGGTCAGTCCTGGGACCAATCCTTTTCAACTTATTCATAAATGATCTGGAGAAAGGGGTAAGCAGTGAGGTAGTAAAGTTTGCAGATGATACCAAACTGTTTAGGATAGTCAAGACAGAAGCAGACTGTGAGGGACTCCAAGAAGATCTCACCAAACTGAGTGATTGGGCAACAAAATGGCAAATGAAATTTAATGTGGATAAGTGTAAAGTAATGCACATCGGGAAAAATAACCCCAACTATACGTACAGTATGATGGGGGCTAATTTGGCTACGACAAATCAGGAAAGAGATCTTGGAGTTATCGTGGACAGTTCTCTGAAAACTTCCACACAGAGTGCAGCGGCGGTCAAAAAGGCAAATAGGATGCTAGGAATTATTAGGAAAGGGATAGAAAATAAGACCCAGAATATCTTACTGCCCCTGTATAAAACTATGGTACGCCCACATCTTGAATACTGTGTACAGATGTGGTCTCCTCACCTCAAAAAAGATATTTTGGCCTTGGAAAGGGTTCAGAAAAGGGCAACTAAAATGATTAGGGGTTTGGAACGGGTCCCATATGAGGAGAGGTTAAAGCGACTGGGACTTTTCAGTTTAGAAAAGAGGAGACTTAGGGGGGATATGATAGAGGTCTATAAAATCATGAGTGGTGTGGAGAGGGCTGATAAAGAAAAGTTATTTATTAGTTCCCATAATAGAAGAACTAGAGGACACCAAATGAAATTAATGGGTAGCAGGTTTAAAACTAATAAAAGGAAGTTCTTCTTCACACAGCATGTTGTCAACCTGTGGAACTCCTTGCCAGAGGAGGCGGTGAAGCTGGATAAATTGAGTTTAAAGAGAAGCTGGATAAATTCATGGAAGTTAGGTCCATAAAAGGCTATTAGCCAGGGGATAAAATGGTGTCCTTGGCCTCTGTTTGTCAGAGGCTGGAGTGGGATGGCAGAGACAAATTGCTTGATCATTGTCTTCGGTCAACCCTCTCTGGGGTACCTGGTGCTGGCCACTGTCGGTAGACAGGATACTGGGCTAGATGGACCTTTGGTCTGACCCAGTACGGCCGTTCTTATGTTCTTATGTGGCTTACCTGTGAAGAAGGTGTCCACATGGCAGAACATGGGCTCCGACACGTGAGGTGTGAATGTCCTGTTTCAAGACATAATAATTAGCATGTATTTTCCCCAACTACCAAACATACCGGAAAGCTAAAGTCAAAGCCAAAAGAGAAAAAGGAAAAAAGGATATTTCAACAGGGAAACTATTAAACTACAGAATTTATTTATTTTCAAGTAAACTTTTAATAGATGAAACATTTAAAAAAAGACCCTTACCTCCAAACATATTGGACAATTCTGCCTGGAGACATTTTCAATACACTATGTAAAGAAAAAAAGACAGCTTAACAAGAAAGAAAAGCAAATGTAGAGTCCTGCATAACAAGTACCTTGATCTACAATTCTTTAGAATACATAAATGTTGCATGAAATCTTTTACTACCCCAAATTAGAGTTCAAATTCCATCATAAGGGTTTCCAGTAAAATCTACAAATACTAACATTTATTGTACTAGACCAGAGAAGAAAAAGTAGTACATCAAACTGACAATCTTAAAACATTTCAAGAAGAGTTGTTTGTAGCTATGAGACACTCAAGTACAGTGACATTTCAGAGTCCAAATTTCAAATATTCCAGGGATTAGCATTGCAAAGGAAGCAACAGAGAAGCCTTTATTTACTCTCCTCCCCACCAAACTGGTATAAACACGTAGTCACTGAAATTTTCAGCAGCTACACGTTAACCTGAATACAGGTATTTTAACATCCCTAGTCCATATTATACATTGCTCTAGCTAGGACCTATCAGCTCTTATTTTCATAAGCACAGTGGGGTTTTTTTGGGGGAGGAGGGAGAGAAGGCTGTGGTTTTTTTAAATGAAACTATAAAATATTACATTCATACCTTATGATTTCCTTGAAGACTCAAAGCAAGACATAAGTTACATTTTGAACAATGGAAAAAGTCTTCTTTTGGACCAATCCTGAAGAGACAGATATTCAGTTAGGAACAGTTTGCCAATTTCTGTACAATTTACATTTTAGTATCTGCAAAAAAGTCTCACACTTAGACAAGATTATGTCTCTCCAACAACAAGCAAGTCTTATTTTAGAGAACTGTCATAGTGATTACACAAAGAGCTGTCAAACGCACAAGATTTTTAACCATGTTTCCTTCTAACCCTTCTTAAGTGACACTTAACCAGTGCAACCTTTATGATGAAATATATTTTTAAGAGGATATCCTGTGTCTTATGGTGGCCACCAACTTGCCCTCCGCTTTAGCTCTTATTAATTTTCACAATAGCATACAATAGCTGCCGGGCAAGGAAATGACTTCAACAGAAGCCAGTACTAAATACATTCCCCAACACTATGTATGCAATGACCTTGTTAACCATCACATATTCATTATTTGAGCTACATCAGAAGTAAAAGCTTATCATCAATATACAGCATGCTTCCCTGCATCTCAAAAAATCCGCTACTAGTCTCAGATGCATAATTTCAATTACAATATCTTAAAATTACCAATATTTAAGCTAACCTAAGAAGAATTGTGTTAAAAATGTAAAAACACAAATAAAGAACATTAAAGACAAAGTATTAATTTTAAATACAGTACCTACAAATTCCACACTTCTCACAGTGGTACTGCTTCTTGTCTTTATCAAACAGGTGGCATGTATTGCAGTAATATTCTCCAAATATATTGCTACAATCCTCACAACTCTGTTGAGCCTACAAGTTACATATCACATGATGCACATTACATTAGGGATGTTAAATGTTGGTTAATTGAATAGTTGATTAATCTCATGAATTCTTATTGTTCCGGCCCCACTCCCAAGTAGCCCCCTGCAGAACCGGCTCCCTTCGTGGACCAACTTCTGATACAGAGGCTGCGGCGTGGCAGCAGTCCCTGTCCCGAAGGGGTCGGGGGGCTGAGCTCCCAAATCCTGAGCTTCCTGAGCTGGGCTGCCTGCCCACTTGGGCTCCAAATACACTTTAAATGCAGAGCCACAGTGGGTGTAGTTCCCGGACCTGGCACAAGCCAGGACTGAGCCAAGCTGCTAAAAAAATTTACTGGTGGCAGGAGGAGGGGGGGGAGAATGCATATAGTCTATAGCATTAACCTGCACATTTTTGCTTATCAGTTAAAATCATAGAATACTAGAACTGGAAGGGACCTCAAGAGATCATCAAGTCCAGTCCCCTGCCCTCACAGCAGGACCAAGCACCATCTAAACCATCCCTGACAGATGTCTGTCTAACCTTCTCTTAAATATCTCCAGTGATGAAGATTCCACAAATGCATATAGTCTATAGCATTAACCTGCACATTTTTGCTTATCAGTTAAAATCATAGAATACTAGAACTGGAAGGGACCTCAAGAGATCATCAAGTCCAGTCCCCTGCCCTCACAGCAGGACCAAGCACCATCTAAACCATCCCTGACAGATGTCTGTCTAACCTTCTCTTAAATATCTCCAGTGATGAAGATTCCACAACCTCCCTAGACAATTTATTCCTGTATTTAACCACTCTGACAATTAGAAAGCTTTTCTTAATGTCCAACTAAACCTCAGTTTAAGCCCATTGTTTCTTGTCCTACCCTCAGAGACCAAGGAGAACAATTCCCCCTTCCCCTTTCCTTCTGACACCCTTTCAGACACCTCAAAAATGTTATCATGTCCCCTCTCAGTCTTCTCTTTTCCAAACTAAACAAGCCCAATTCTTTCAGCCTTGCCTCACAGCTCATGTTTTCTAGATCTTTAATAACTGTTGCTCTCCTCTGGACCTTACCCATGTTTGGTACACAGGCTAGAGTGTTTATCTTAGCTTTGCTAGGAACGAAACAACCTTTCTCCTGCAACTGACTAAGTAGAGGAGAGAGGATAAATAAAGCTTCCCCCAAAAATGTAGGAATTCCCTCTACTGTTATCTTACCATTTGAAGGAATGGACAAAACTAACACCTCTCCCCTGCAACACACACGCACAGTAAAATTAAGAACCTCCATTAAGCATTTGCATTTTATAATCCCATTTCAAAAGACAACAGTTACACTCACAGGACACGGAAAATGTTAAAGTATACAAAGTACCTGCTGGATGCTTTTGCACTTTGCACACTGCACTTGTTTTACTTTAAAACGATCCATCTGATGATCTTCTTTGCTGTCATGACACAGACGGCAAACGTAAAACTTACCACAGCAAGGAGCCTGAAAAAACAAACGGGGGAAAAACTATGAGGAAACCAAAAGTTAAGTGACAGCTAAGAGACACCTAGATTTCATTTACCCTTTTAGTGTTGCAGAGCACTATGCAAGGTCAGCTTGGTGCAGCTAGTGACCCCACAGGCCTAATCTCTTCTTTATAAAGTACCAGAAGCTGGGAGTGATCGGACTTTACCCTAGAAGAGCAAAGGCTTGCTGTGACCGGGAACGAGGGATGTTAACTACAGGAACGAGGGATGTTAACTACTGGAACGAGGGATGTTAACTACTGGAACGAGGGATGTTAACTTTTGCAACTCTAGCTGTGTGTGTGAACATGCAACAGCTGGGAATTTCAGCAGCGCGGTGCGGGGGCAGCTTCGCAGTTGCCAATGCTGGTGGGTGGCCAGTTTTGGAAGGCACCCCCCAGCACCGGCCTCCCCCCCCCATACTGCT